AATTCAAGCTCAGCAGTTTCTCATTGGCGTCTGCGTTGGAAGCTTTTCTGTTGCAAAATTGCCACCCTTAAGTCTTTTACTGAGTGGCCAGAGAGGTTGAAGTGTTCTCCAACAGGTTTTTGAATGTCATGATTCCTGATGTCAGATTTGTGTCCATTTATTCTTTTGTGTAGAGATTGTTTGGTTTGGCCAATGTACGTGGCATAGGGGCACTGCTGGCACATGATGGCATATATGTCTAGTTGGCAGCCAGTATCAAGTGGAGTGCCCCAAGGGTTGGTCCTCGGGCCGGTTTTGTTCAATAACTTCATAAATGATCTGGAGGATGGTGTGGATTGCACCCTCAGCAAGTTTGCAGATGACACTAGACTGGGAGGAGAGGTAGATACGCTGGAGGGTAGGGATAGGATACAGAGGGACCTAGACAAATTGGAGGATTGGGCCAAAAGAAATCTGATGAGGTTCAACAAGGACAAGTGCAGAGTCCTGCACTTAGGACGGAAGAATCCAATGAACCGCTACAGACTAGGGACCGAATGGCTAGGCAGCAGTTCTGCAGAAAAGGACCTAGGGGTGACAGTGGACGAGAAGCTGGATATGAGTCAACAGTGTGCCTTTGTTGCCAAGAAGGCCAATGGCATTTTGGGCTGTATAAGTAGGGGCACTGCCAGCAGATAGAGGGACGTAATCGTTCCCCTCTATTCGATACTGGTGAGGCCTCATCTGGAGTACTGTGTCCAGTTTTGGGCCCCACACTACAAGAAGGATGTGGAAAAATTGGAAAGAGTTCAGTGGAGGGCAACAAAAATGATTAGGGGACTGGAACACATGACTTATGAGGAGAGGCTGAGGGAACTGGGATTGTTTAGTCTGCGGAAGAGAAAAATGAGGGGGGATTTGATAGCTGCTTTCAACTACCTGAAAGGGGGTTCCAAAGAGGATGGCTCTAGACTGTTCTCAGTGGTAGCTGATGACAGAACAAGGAGTAATGGTCTCAAGTGGCAGTGGGGGAGGTTTAGATTGGATATTAGGAAAAACTTCTTCACTAAGAGGGTGGTGAAACACTGGAATGCGTTACCTAGGGAGGTGGTGGAACTCCTTCCTTAGAAGTTTTTAAGGTCAGGCTTGACAAAGCCCTGGTTGGGATGATTTAATTGGGGATCGGTCCTGCTTTGAGCAGGGGGTTGGACTAGATGACCTCCTGAGGTCCCTTCCAACCCTGATATTCTATGATTCTATATCACATTGGTAGATGTGCAGGTGAACGAGCCCCTGATGGTGTGGCTAATGTGATTATGTCCTATGAAAGTGTCACTTGAATAGATATGTGGACAGAGTTGGCATCGGGCCAATTGTTGCAAGGATAGGTTCCTGGGTTAGTGTTTTTGTTGTGTGGTGTGGGGTTGCTGGAGAGTATTTGCTTCAGGTTGGGGGTCTGTCCATAAGCGAGGACTGGTCTGTCTCCCAAGATCTGTGAGAGTGAGGGATCATTTTTCAGGATAGGTTGTAGATCTTTGATGATGAGCTGGAGAGGTTTTAGTTGGTGGCTGAAGGTGACAGCTAGTGGCGTTCTGTTATTTTCTTTGTTGGGCCTGTCCTGTAGTAGGTGACTTTTGGGTACTCTTCTGGCTCTGTGAATCTGTTTTTTCACTTCAGCAGGTGAGTATTGTAGTTTTTGCAATCCAAATACTGCTTCCTTGGTGGTTCTGCCTGAAACAGTCACAATGTAATTCCCTATAATATCTGCTCCATAGAGTGGCTAACCAAGTGGAAGTTGTTTTGCGTGGGAAAATGGTCTTGTGATTAAGACACAGAAATGGAACCGAGAGACCTTTGTTTTGGACCCCTGGCTTTGCCACCGATTTCCTGCAAGTCACTGATCAAGTCACTTAATCTCTCTGTGCCTCTGATTCTTCATATGTAAAACAGAGACACTACTACTTACCTACCTAATAGGGATGTTACATTGTAAAGCATGTTGAGCTCCTTGCCAGGAAAATCGGCACAAGTTCTTGTATTATTGTAAACTATATTCTCACCCACAGCTCTACTTTGTAAGGAATTTATCAAGCTATTCTAAAAAGCAAAGGGCTTTTTAGCAGGTACCTGATAAAACAGGTTCTACATTTTACTGGTTTGCTAAAAAAAGCACCTTGGTAATGAGTGTCTTTCATTAGGAAATCAGGCTGAAAAGACACAGACATCTCAGAAAGGACCTAAAGGTTTAGAGTCCAAATCAGCCTCTTGGGGGCAAAACAACTCTGTTTTAGAAAGGCTCTGATGACCTGTGGCACACAAGTTATTTTTGTCTTATCTGAAGCCTAGAGAAGATCACTAAGATTAGGAGCATCAACAGATGGAAGGGTGAAATTTAGGTACCAGAGCGGATAAATTGGCACTTATCAATGTGCCACATTGAGACATCAGCATCAAATAGCTGGGATAAATAAAAATCACTTGTAATCTAAAATGGAGCAGCAATGGGAAATGGTGTAGCTACGTTTCTCCTAGAGAAACTCTAACTATCTGGGTAAGAATCAAATACATTAAAAGTAACCTCTCCCTAAAGGCCTAGAGTAAGTAACTGGATTGTATCTATTTCCTCTTGGTCTTCAGAACTGTATTAGGCATGAAGCTTTATGGAAAGTGAAAATAAGGAAGATATGTCACTGGTATGTGATTTGAAGTAGGAAAAACGACCACTTCTCTGCTTTTGTTACTGCTCAGATACAAGCAATTCTGATATTAATGTGACTGAAAACATAAGAGTAGCCAGAGGCTTTCCTCTGGGTAGTAAAAAAATAATCAGTGATTATAATTATTGTGATTACTCTTTTTTTGAGGAGGCAAGATCAAGTTAACAATGTGTCTAAGAGTTACTTTTAGTATAGTTTATTATCTATCTATCTATACACAGACATCTAAATATCCAGATCTATATATTGTAAGGACTGTTGCTTATCTCTGACAAGATCTACCTCAGATTTAACCTGTAATTATATCACATCTTCTCCCAAAAAAAAACATCTTGGAGGAATAGTGTGTTAACAGTGAAGTATTTATTAAAGATAACAGTCTTTTATGGAGATAAAGTAAAGCTTCCATTGCTGCAGCACTGCATCATTATCAAAGAAAGTATTGCATGGCGGGTGAGATGAGATTTAATTGTAAGGTTTAAAAACAATCACAGGTATTATAAACTGAGCTGCTCAAGAAAACACATACACAGATCTGGCATCAACTGAACTCAACAGACAGTCTTAAACAGCTACTTTTCCTTCTCTAATTAGAGGAGAGAATTGTGCAGGGGCATTCACAGACCGACATCTGATTGACAAGCAGCTGGTCTGGAGCAAGGTTGGGCTCACACTTGCAGTAAAAAAAAAAAAAAAATGGGAAAAGCAATGTCCTGAGATTGATTGTGAAAACAGTTAAACTTTAATGAATAATACATCAGAAAAACAGTAGTGTTCTATTAGGTGGGATATTTAGGCTATTTCACCCATTAAAAGAGAGAATTCAGCCTCATAATACGTGAGCTTTAGATAGGATGCTTTCCTGCCAGGGAAGAAATTGAATGATCAGTGCTTGCCAGTGAGATATTATGTCTGCTTTATGTATTCCACGTGGCAATTCCTTTAAGAAAAAAAAGTCTTGTTTGGCCTCATTCCAAAGATACAGTGTGGTACAGTAGGTGACTTGAAATCAGCAATCTACTAGCATGCCAGATATAGGAAAGAATCACTGGCATTCATAATTCAATGTGCAGAATTTTTGCCTATGCTTTGAGGATGGAGTCTGAGAGGTTATGGGGACAGGGGAAGAAGAATGCATATATATTAGATAAAGAGGAATGCAAAATATTTCTTCTATTAATTAATTTTTATAGCTCTGATTGAAGGCAAGAGAAAGAGCATGCTCTGCACTCACATGAAGTGGGAATATACAGCCACCCAAAGCATACACAGAAAAGCCAGATAGTGGCCTTGAATGAAGTTCATGAAGATGTGAACAGATACAAATGTGCACATGAGAGGAAACACTCTCTTACCATCCTAGAAGATTGCTTGCTGCTGATCATAATCCTCACACTTAATGCAGAGACTGGCAGGAAAGTCTGCTAAAGCAGCAGTGTCCTTTGTTTGATGAGCCAGTCTCCAGCACAGATTTCCAGAACAGCTCAGTGTCAGCACAAATTAGTTCAGCAGCTAACCCTTGGTTCCATTTAGGAGAACTTTTTTCTGGATAGCAGCCCAATCACAAAACTCTCCAGTCTAACAAAGGGATCTTCCAGTTAACATTTTAATAATGTTTAGATCCTGGTTCCAGAGGCTTTGGAACTTTGGGCAAGTACACCAGTTGTGTGCACATCAAGACCCCATCCCCTCAATAATGGAATTATTTGAATACAGTGACATCTATTTTTTTTTAAAAAGTTCACCTCCCCTAATTTGCATTGGAATAATAACTGTCATCTACAAAGAATCATCATATTATATGGGATAGTGAGGGACATAGCAAAGAAACCAATATCTACCTCTAGAAATATTAGGTTTCTCTAAACTAAAGAATACGTAAACACAGAGGGCCAAATTCTGCCCTGAGAATGTATGTTCAGCTCCTGTTCAATACAATGGAATACACATGTGTATCTACAGGGAGTATTTGGCCCTTATGCATTCTTTGTGTTATATTCCTATAATCACATAGGTGATTCCTCTTTTGCAATATCTACATATAGTCATGTCATAGAGTTCTGACTTGGGTCTGAATGAAAAGAATGGAAGGGGATGGGGACAAGACATGCAGGGCTGAGCATAGGAGGAGAAATTACACATTCATCCCCAAAATTAGCCAGTGAAAACATTTTTAGTCTCCCAACAGCAAAGCAGACACATGGAAGGATTACAGTCCATGGAAACTTCTGTTTAACATTTTAATTACATTTAAACCTAAACACAAATTTGGGACGCATACAGTACAGTAGTTCAAAAACCAACCAGTGTGTCGCTGTCTATCAGAGACAGAGCCCTGTGTATTGTGCAGCATATTGGATCTAAATTCTTTGGCAAGATCCCCAATACCCCCTGGTTTCTGTGGAATTTTGGCAAGGAGTTCTGTGGTGATCAGATTTCTGCAGCAGAATGGAAACAAATAGAAAAACAGTAAAAAATAAATAAATAAAACAAACTGGCAAACTGCAAGGAAATGTTAACTCTATAATTTATAACAAATTTTACACGAACACTACACATATGAGGGAGAAGACTGTAAGAAAGCAAACACAGTACAACTTTGGAGGGCAGGGGAAAAGAGAAGTGACCTCCATCCCCCTACACACAGAACTATTTGGTGTTTGAAGAGTCACATCTCTTTTGTCTAGTTCCATCTGTATCATAGTTGAAATGGGATGAGAGTCTTGCCTTCCCCCTCTCAAGGCAATTCCCTCTCATGCAAAGTGTGGGAATCCGCACTCCCTCCCTTTCCCCAGCATATCTTCCAAGGGACTCCTCCGGCTCCCCATAGAACAGTTTCTTTGATAACCTTTCTCAGGCTTTTTTTTCTCAGGCTTTTTTTCGGAGGAGAAGTCCAAGTAGGTGCACCTCTCCTCAGTGGGACACAGCAAGTCCCATGCTACCATCAGTTGCATACTAATTCCCACTGTCACTCCATATGCATCATTGTGAAAAGCATCATCCTCTGGCTGAACATTATCTCAGGAATAAGCCACAGTGATAGAGGGAGAAAGGAATGAGAAACAGTTTTTGTGACTGGTGCCCTCCTGTTCTTCTGACCAATACAGCACACTACCACGGTTCAGCCAGGTGTTACTACCTAACAGAACAGGTAACAGTTTCCGTGGGTCCCTCATCAAGGAGGAAATTCCACTGTTATTTCTGTGACAATAAAATCCCAGGAGTCAATAAGCCCTGATCACAGGTAGGCATCACACGACAAACAGTTTCATTACATTTGTGTTATAGCAGGTACTGACAGTTTGATTTTTAGAAACAATTGGTTTTCATATTAAGAAACTGAAAAAACCAGCAAAAAGTGGAGAATAAAGTAAAAATTACTGAGGTATTCAAAAATATATTGGTGTTAAATCACAGTACTATACGCTGCACTTTACTTGTCCTAATGGTAGGTATGGAACTGACCTTACGACACAGCTTATGACACAGCTACACAGATGAAATGTAATGAACCTCAGAAGCAAATGAGCTTCAGGTGAAGACAGGAACCAGGATATTGTAGTGACAAGCTCATTAGTCAAATCTGGTGTGGTACACTCTCTGCTATTTATCACAGTGCTATTTCTGAGTTCCTAATCAAATGCAAACACTCAACCCCAAGAACCCATTTAACATGAAACTTGTTCTCTTCTTTAGAATTTAAAATTTTCTTTTTAATGGGAGCTTTAGTACTGCACCCCTCCGCCACTGTTCTTATCAAATTAAAGGAAAAATACAAGGGATTTGAAAGACTTTAGTGGCAATTTCTAATATATTGATTCCTTGGACTTCTTGGGACTATAAGAAAAATTGTAGGAGGATCTTAAAGTAGAAGGGAGAGATAGCTAGCACTGTGTCTTAGCAATTACAAGAGAATGCAGCCAAATAAAGAGATAGGTCCTGAAGATTTTATAATAGCCCAGATGACATGATTGGTGAAAACTCAACATCTCACCATTACAATCACCCTTCAGTGCTACATTTTTGCCTTGTGAGAAAACACATGCTCAGATGCCTGGGGCCTGAGATCTGTATTTGATTCTCATTCCCAGGCTCTCAGTCCAAAAAACTGGCACAGGCTGGGATTACTGTGGATGATATCAGGGCTGATGGGGAGGGAGTGTCTGGTGTTGCTTACCACTGACACGTCTAGCTGATTAGTGTGAAAGGTACAGAAAGGAGCCTCATTCAAGTAGAGGAGAGATGTGAAAAAAGGGAGAAATGATGCAAGAGTCTTGAGAGTGGAAGACAACGTGGGTGCGATCTCAGGATTCTTACAAGCACCATTCTGTGTACAGTAAATGATTCGAGAGGCTAGATTGTACCTTAAGGCACAGCCCTACTGTGAAGCTGAGGGAAAGACTGCTGCAGACTGAGTAGAAGCTCCTCAAGGCATTTGCGCTTGAGGTCCATGTTAAACTTACTTACTTACAGCATCCAGCATGAATTCTCCCCTCCTCATGCGGGGCCCGCTCTGCTCACCTTGTGGAGATGATAGGGCTGATGTTGGTGCTGCCCTCAAGCAGCCATTACACATACTGCTTATTCTGGCTTCTACATAGGTAGTTTGGAAGGCTCCTTGTACCTTCTCTCCTACCTTGTGCAACTGCCAGGGCCAGACACGATCTGACCCAAAGTGTTTTTCATATTATTACAGTATGTCCACTTATCTAACTACTATGCAAGTATAACAATATTACATAGCTCTTATATAGTGCTTTTCATCAGAATAGCTCAAGAAGCTTTACAAAGGGAGTTAAGCATCATTAGTGCCATTTTATGGCTCGTGAAACTGAGCCATAGGGAGACAATATATAATACCCTACAAAGTGACTGCATTCTTCATCGTTCATACACAAATGCCAAAAAGCAGAACAGTCACATCAATGGTTAACGTCAAATGTTTCCAAAATGATATTTCCATTTTAAGGTGAGCTTTTGCCAAAATAATATTAAACTGTCCCTCTCCTAAATGGCAACGTGAGGTAGATATTCCACCAATAAAACCCACTCTGATCCTGGGAACCTTCGTTCAAAAACTGGCACTTTGATGAGCCAGAACTCTGACATCTGGAACTTCCTGGGCTTCCTCCAGATGGGAAACAATAATCCCAATATTTTGCCAGAGGTCATCTTTCTCTAGGATGGGCCAGGTGTCTATGGCCAAAAACACAGACTGCAGCCGAGCAGTTCGCTATCCAAATTCAGAAAGACAGTATCCTGAAAATGATCGTAACATTCCTAGTGATGGCAATGTCATATTCACATATGGGATATACTGTTGTCTAGCAAGCCAAAAGCAGCACAAACAACATTTAAATGTGAAAAAATTAAGATGGCTCCTTTATGGATCATAAGTAAACATAATCCAGAAGCTGAAGCTTGAGATTGATATTCATGTCAACAAGAAGATAAATATATTTTGATTTAAAGCCTGGTATGTGGTTTGATCTGAAATCGGTGCCAAGATGCATCATAAGCTGTCAATTGCCATTTGCTGTGATAATTTGAGACATTTGTGTATTTAAATATAGGTATATTCCTATGCCACTCTGTAATTCTGAAAATTCTCCTGAAACCACTAAAGCTGGCTTATTTCCCAGACATCTCCTTGTTAGCAAATCCTCATCCGGAATTTATTTATATATATATATATAGTGGCAGAGCTCCAACCTTGTCTCATGCTTCCAGGCAGTTTATGCAAGCCTCAGAGGCTCACTCCAACCCTCCACGTAGCCCTTTTCTCTCTAGAGCCAGGGTTACAGTCTACTGAACCCTTTTCATCATAAGCCAGCAAGAAGGTTGGTGAGAGAACTCCCACAGTCTCTGTTTTTCCTGTGGGGTTATTCTAGAACAGTTCAGTCTCCTGTCCTGACAGGGGCCTGTCTTCCCCTCCCAGGAGGTGTTTCTGTAGTGGCAGGTTGGGAGGAACCCGGGCCCACCCTCTACTCCGGGTTCCGGCCCAGGGACCCCAATGGCAGCAGCTGTTGGCAGCCGACCTTTCACCGCCAGAGTTGCTACATTTCCCTGGGCTACTTCCCCACAGCTCTCCCGCTTCTCTCTCTTAATGCCTTCTTCACCCTTACCTTAGGGCTATCTTTCCAGTGGCTTAAAGGTGTCTTCATTACCCTTCCCTTCGGCCACACTTCCTCTCCTCTGGCTCCCTGGCTCTCTTTGGCCTGACTGGAGTGAGCCCTTTTATAGTATCAGAGGGGCCTTAATTAGAGTCAGGTGTTCACGTTAACTTAACAGCCTCACCTGACGCTTTGCAGGTTGATTGGAGTCAGGTGTTCTCATTAGCCTAACGGCTTCAACTGACTCTTTGCAGGCTAACTGGAGTCATGTGTTCACCCTAGTTTGGAGCAGCTCCTGCTCTGGTCAGTCAGGGAACAGAAAACTGCTTATCCAGTGGCCAGTATATCTGCCTTCTACTACTCTGCTGTACCTCCGCATGGACTACATGGATCCTGGTCCAGGATCTCTTGGAGCTTGGGTGTAGGGATGGTCTGTCGTTCACCCTCCTGTCCCTGGATCAGGAGAAGGCATTCGACAAGGTGGACCACTGTTAATTCCTGGGCACTCTGCGAGCCTTAGGCTTCCGACCCCAGTTTGTGGGCTTTCTCAAGGTGCTGTACGCCTCCGCAGAGTGTCTGGTCAGGCTCAACAGGACCTTGACTGAGTCGGTCAGCTTCGGGTGGGGAGTACGGCAGGGGTGCCCCCTCTTAGGCCAGCTGTATGCTCTGGCGATTGAGCCCTTCTTCTATCCCCTCCGCTGGAGGTTGACGGGGTTGGTGCTGCGAAAACCGGAACTGCGGCTGGTCCTATCGGTGTATGCCACTAACGTGCTCCTCGTGGTCCAGGATCCGGGCGACTTGGCGTGGGTGAAGGCTTGTCAGGCAGTCTACTCGGCAGCCTCCTCCACCTGGGTCAAGTGGGTCAAGAGCTCTGGCCTGGTGGTCTGGGACGGGTGGCAGGTGAGCTCCCTCCCACCCGCACTTCAGACCATCCGGTAGAGCCCGGCTCCGCTGCTCTATCTGGGCGTTCACCTTTCTGCCACGCATCCATCTCTGCCGGAAAACTGGCACGGTTTAGAGGGCAGGGTGACAGAGCGGCTCTGGAAATGGACAGGACTACTCCGGTGTCTCTCCCTTCGAGGGAGGGCACTGGTGCTCAATCAATTAGCCCTGTCCATGCTCTGGTACTGGCTCAACACCCCAGTCCTGGCCCCGGGCTTCCTGGCCAACCTCCAGGTGGCAATTCTGGAGTTCTTTTGGCCAGGAGTGCACTGGGTCTCTGCAGGGGTCCCTGCCTCGTGGACCCAACTGCTCCCCCCACCCCTTCACTGTTAGCTGGCTGCACGACTTGCAGCCGGTTAGTTTCCAGACTGTGCCAAGGAAAC